TTGTCCCGCACTCCGATATTTACTCTCCTCAAAATATAAACACTGTCGAAGAATTTCTTAATGCCCCACTCCCAGTGTATTCCCCTGTCAAACATTTTACCCCAAATGAAGTAAAATATACGATTGATAAATACCCCCCCAACAAATCTCCTGGGTTCGATCTTATCACAGCTGATGTTGCCAGATGCCTTCCCAAAAAAGCAATTGTTCACCTCACACACATTTTCAACGCTGTTCTTAGACTTTCCTACTTTCCATTGATTTGGAAATTCTCAATCATTATCCTGGTCCCCAAGCCCAATAAACCTCCTGACTCCACTTCCTCTTTTCGCCCAATAAGTTTACTGCCTTTCTTTTCTAAAATCCTAGAAAGACTATTATTAAAGCGTATTCTACCAAGCGTCACGTCAAATTCCATTCTTCCTGACTCCCAGTTTGGTTTCCGCAATGCTCACTCAACAATCCATCAAGCCCACAGATTGGTAGACTCAATCTCATTCGCACTGGAAAAAAAATTATACTGCACATGTGCCTTTCTAGATATATCTCAGGCTTTTGACAGGGTTTGGCATGATGGGCTATTATACAAACTGAAGAAATTTTTACATCCGGTCTTCTTTCTGATCATCAAGTCTTATCTCTCTGATAGATACTTCAGCACTCGTATTGGTGATACTCTCTCATCTATAGCCAAAATCTCAGCGGGTGTCCCCCAAGGGGGCATTCTTTCCCCTTTGCTCTATAATATATATGCCTCAGACCACCCTATCACACCCAACACTCAAGTCGCTGACTATGCTGATGATAAGGTAATCATCTCCACAAGTCCTGATCCTATCACAGCTTCTAGCCATCTACAAAATCACCTATCTCTCATGCAAGACTGGTACACTAATTGGAGGTTAAAAATAAATCAAGCTAAATCTGTCCATACTACTTTCACTCTTAGACTTCTACCTTGCCCTGCTGTCTCCATCTTTGACTCCCAAATTCCCAGTTCTCAAACGGTTAAATACCTCGGTCTAATCCTAGATCGTAGGTTAACTTGGGCTCCTCATATTAAATCTAAGCGTCTAAATCTTAATGCTCGTTTTCGTTTGCTCAGAACATTCATTAATAATAACACACACACTAACCTTAATACAAAACTACTTATCTATAAATCCCTAATAAAGCCTGTATGGACATATGGCATCCAGCTTTGGGGTAATGCCAAAAAATCTAACCTTAATAAGATCCAAACCTTCCAAAACTTAACCCTCAGGAAAATACTCAATGCTCCACCTTATATATCGAACAGCACTATCCACTCCGACTTAAAATTAAAAACTGTCCAGGAAGAAGCTAAAGCGCATTACAAGCGTTTTCATAACCGTCTGTCCGCCAACAGTAATCCACTAATCCGTGATCTCGCAGTTCCGACCATACCTGGCAATCCTCCCAGGCGTCTAAAACGCAATTGGTGTCGTGACCTCCTTATCCCCCCCATCCAAACTTAAACAATTCAAACAAAGATAAACAAAAAAAAAAAAAAAAAAAAAAAAAAAAAAAATAGTAGAAATACCCATAGTTGAGTGTCATTGATGGATGGCTTCTCACAACCCGTGTATTCATGTAAATATATATGTTTAGGTTAGTATTTGTACTAATGTTAACTGTATATGTATGTATCTCTCATCGCATGTACTTATTGTGCCTCACAGGTACAGATTGTATATTTCAAATAAAGTAAAAAAAAAAAAAAAAAAAAAATGAATATCAATAAAAATGTATTAGTTTGTTAAAAAAGCTTGAAAATTTAATAGAGGACTTCTAGTATATTGTTTCAAAGGTAGATTAAAAATATTTAAAATCCTAAGTCACAGTTTTTTTTTATAAGCATATAAAGTTCAAAAATTGACAAAATATGGGAAAATCACGAAAATTAGAAAATTATTTTGATAAAAAGTTAGTAGGTAGTGTAAAACGGTAAAGAGAATGGATAGAGATCATTTACTGAAACTTGAAAGTATTGTGTTTTAAAATGTTTGGTAAACTATTATGGATTTATAATGATTATTTAAGTATGAAATGAATGTTGAAAAGCTTAGTTTTTGGTTGTATTATTTACTTTTGATATTCATATGATATACCAAATACAGCTCATTAGGTACTGTCTACTAAAATGGTAAAATACATAATAACACAAAATTTGTAAATATTATAATTACGGGGAGCGTATTAGGAAACCCAGGACGCCACAGAGCGCCTTATGTATACCACGTTCTCATTGGCCCATTTCAAATTGCCCGCTTTTTTTTTTATCATTTATCAAATAATTTAATTTAATTTAATTTAATAATATAATATTAATTTAAATATTATATTATATTATTTAATTTAAACAAATTAAAATAACTATTTAGTAGGAAAAGGTACCTAACTAATATTAAACAATATTATTATGTTATATAATTCAATAAATTAATGTAGAATGTGATCTCTACACAGTTATTTTTATTTTTTACTTTAGTAGGTACCTATACCTACCTCAGAGTGAACATTTCTTACTGGACTAAGTGTATTGTACTTGTACACACCTTTTGTGTTAGCTAAAAAGATTGTCTAGGTTCTTCCTAACATAGAAACAAAATACCAATCTTACTTAAATGTTTTATTTTTACTAAAACATAAGATTCTTAATTAAAATAGGTAGGTACCTTACTAAAATGTCATGCTCTAACATTAATATATGTATTGTATTTTTAATAAAGACATAACTATTTTTAGAGGAACGAATTGAACTAGTGTTCAATGATTATTTTAATAATATATGGAATGGTAGCTACTATGAAGCTAATGGTTTAAAAATCCAATTAAAGAAATTGTTGTAACTTCACATGAATGGTGCAAAAACAATTTTGGACGTCTAGTTTGGTAGTCTAGTTCATCGATGACTGAAAAGCCCTGTTATTATTTTCAATTTTATATTTGTAGGTACACTACATTACTACCTACATCAGCAGTGGTTTATAAATAATATTTTTTTACACATTTATAATTTAACTAATTCAACCTTTTTAAAATGTTATGCAAGTATTAAGTAAACAAAATAATATATTAAGGTAGGTAAAAAATAATACATACATGTCTACTTACATAGTCAGAGGTAGGTAGGGGTTACACGATCATTGAAAGTATATACCTAAATATTAGACAAAAAAAAAAAATTGTACAAACATTTAAAACTGTGAACATATTTTAAAGTATTTTTTTTTACTATGATGACCACCTCGCATGTTAAAATTCTGTCAGTTGGGCTCTGAATGTGATTTAATTGTCCTGAATGTACAATATGACTCCCTAAATAACAAAAATTTACTAACAAAATTCAAAAATTTGACCTACCCGATAATACTTTATAGGTGTTACAAGTTCCTATATAGATTATAATGACAATTATTATAAAATATACTATTCAATTTTATTATAATTTTATGAGGTAACAATTTTGAACTAAGATTTACCAATTATTTTAGCAAACGATTAAACAATTTGTTATTATATTACATTAAATTTTGTTTATTTTATGATGTAGGGAAGTTTATCTTCTACATCTACTAAGTTTATTATAAATTATAATCTAAATATATCAAACTGATAACAGTAGGTATACCTAGTCACAAATAATAATATAATTTAATGTAATTCCAGTATAAACTTCATAATGAAGTCATAAAATATTAATTCGAATGAAAAAAAACTATGTAAAAACAATGAAAAATACATGTTATATGTTCAGTGACCTCTACCATGGGATTTTGCATTTCATTGTCCTAAATTAATGCTTTTTCATATTCAACATATTTTAAAGTATTTTTTTACTATGATGACCATACGAGGCGCATGTTAAATTTCTGTCTATGCACAGTATTTAGAGGTAAAAAGCTGGGAACAATCGCTGCAGGTACCACATGGCACATCAGTTGAGCTCTGAATATACAACATGACTTCTTAAATATCAAAAATTTAAACAGAAGTTTATCTTATTTACATCTTGGTACCTACTTCGTTTATTAATTATTAATTAATTGATGTGGCCACTAAAATATATATGTAGATATAGCTCCTAAATTATAATCTAAATTTATCAAACTGATAACAGTATAGTCACATAGTTTATTTATTTACTACCAGACTACCTATACCAGCTATTATTAATTTGTCAACAGGAATATTAAATTGATTTTTGACTTGCTGTCATGTTTAAACTTTAATTGTACATCTCCGTTATAGTTGTACTTTTAATTTTAAGTTGTTAGTGTTTAAAGCATCTTAGCATTTTCACTAGTAAGGTATTTTTAAGCCCTGGTTGTTTGGGTATTTAACTTGTTGGTGGTAGTTCTCTGTTTCTGCATTTCTGAATAATCAATTATATGGTATTCATAATGGATGAATTCATTAAGTTCTTAAAAAATAATAATATCATTGCGGTTCTATCAAATGAAGTTTCTAATATAAATGAAAAGACCTCGATTCTTAGAGCCAATATTAATAATGTTAATGAAGTCACCTTACTGTGCTGGCATACCCAATATTTATGAAACATGACTCTCAAAAAAAAAATGTCTTACCTATACATTAATATTAATCAAATAATGAGAACTATTTTTACTTACCTTGATGGATTGTCAAGCTGACCAACACGAATCCAATTAGTTTTCGAAAATTCTTGGTAAAGCATTATGAAATTCTCAACTTCATTAACATTATTAATATTGGCTCTAAGAAAACAACACAAACAACTAAAATATCGTTGCCATGTACGTGAATGTTTCAAAAATCTACAATTCATATCTGTGTCACATAGTTACCACTTGTCAATATTCATTTCTTGTGTTCATTACGAATAAATTTAATTTCTACGTATTTCTGTATAATCTTCTCCGTTAATTCTGCCTATATAATAATATCAAATAAATATGTCATATAGATGTGTATCTATGCCTAACATGGCCACGATGTGTGAAAATTCCTCAGCCAAATCGACAGATATTGGATGGCGATCAACGCCAAATCTGAAGTTTAACAGTACCAATGATATACGAAGACCGGAATCGTCGAAAAATGTTGATTCCAAAGGTTTTCTGGACCACAGGCTCTGTGTATCTGAGCTAAATATCCCCGTACATCCAAAATTAGCTGGCGAGACAGCTGCAGATATTGGGTGGCGATCAACGCCAAATCTAAAGTTTCAGCAGGTCACCAGCGATGTACGGAAATCGGAATCGTCGAAAAATTTTGATTCCAAAGGTTTTCTGGACGGCAGGCTCTGTGTATCTGAGCCAAACATCCGCATACATCCAAAATTAGCTGGCGAGACAGCTGCAGATATTGGGTGGTGATCAACGCCAAATCTAAAGTTTCAGCAGGTCACCGATGAAGTCAGCGATGTACGGAAACCAGAAAGTCCGAGACACACACGTCCTCGTCGTTCATTTTGGCGTCAGACAAAGAAATTTTTCAGGCGGTTCCTTTGTTGTTGTGGTTCTATTGACATGATAGACCAGTAATATGTACCTATATTATAGAGTTTAAAAGGTTTTTAAACATCCCCTCCTCTCCCACCGTTATATCACTTTTGTGTTCGCTGGTACTATTCTGAAACCGTTTATCATGTCCTCCATTGTCATTTGTACCAAGTTAGTGTAGGTTTGCCTCACCTATTTCATGCACTGTACGTCTGTACCATCTTCTGCTCTTCGCCACCTGTTTTGTTCTGTATTAAATTAATATTATTAATATTATTATGTTACTCATATTAAACGTATTATTATAAAGTATAGACTATGTATTAATACCTATCTATTATATCTACCTCTTTCGCTTTGCATAAATATATGTAATAATCCTATATGGTCACGCAGGTGGATATTGTATTGTCATGGATGTCATCGATTTTCATGATAGTAAAAAAATTAAAAATTATCTATACTAGAGTGGTTGACAAATGATTTACTTCACCTTCCGTTTAACCACTCCAAAATCGAGCCATGTACGGGTGCGCATAATATTATATGAGCGATATATTATAAGTCCACGCCTCTCCGTTTCGACTAGTTACGAATTATATTATAGTATTATAATAGGATATTGTAATATTATTGATTTGGAATTTTTGTCAATTTTTTTTTAATTCCATAGATAAGTATATAATTTGTCTTATACCTAGACTGACATCCGTCGCCGCTCAGAATCGTTTTTCTTATACAATGATATTATATCATTGAATTAAAATTTAATACCATCCATTATACAGTGACCCCCTTGTAACCTACTGTACAGTAGAGCACCTTTTTTATATAGAAAATTGTGATGTTATAATGTAAAGTTTTTCGATTTAAAATTTGTAAATTTATGAAAAAAAGAATCATAGAAAGGGTAAAAATTCAAATTAAAAGTTATAAATAATTTAATGTTATTAATAATAATTTCTATGTTAAAATATGACGATAAAATTATTTAAACGGTGGCAGTTTATTCGTATCCTTTTGATAGTTCACCTTTCGCAAATATTAAAATTTTGTTTTTCAAATGTGCAATTTTTTTTTTTAGTTATGATTATTCTATTTGCTATTAGGTAAACTAAAAATCAACGTACGTCACTTATTTATTATAAAATTAACAAATCGTTTTTATTTTAATTTCAAAATGTTTACTGATTATTAATTTCAGCATATTTTAATGAATACTAACATGACTTAAAATGTGTGATATGGTTATTAAAAATATGCGGTATATCACAACATTTTTAGATCTTAAACGAAGCAATGACTGTAAACGTTTTCAAAGATGTGTTTTTTTTTTAAATTTAAATTTTATATACTAAAAAATTGATTCACTATAATATTGTTACCATCATTATTTATTTATGAAATTTGAGGGAATATCGTTAGAGCAATAAAATAAATTATCAAATAAACCAGACGAATGTAAAGTAATATTTCATCAAATATTGAAAGACCATTTTTAGAAGTATTCTAATATTGAATTACTAGCGGGAGTGTGCCAAATGCAAAGTTTTCAAGTATTGATGGATAGGGAGAGGCACTTTCAATTCCATCCTCTCATGGTGGCTCTGTCTCTGATAACATTGTTTCACACTAAAGTGTGAAAATAAGTTATGAACCTCCGAATGACAGGCAAGGTAATTAGGAAATGTTTTAGAGTTCATGAGTTATTAAGATACAGAAAGTGACGATACATTATGCAGGTATACTATATATTTAAAAGCATACTTACTATTGAATTCTCACATGTATTCATATTTTGTTTTATCTCGTTTGATATTCAAAGTTACATCAAGTTTAATTTAATACCACAGAGTGATTGATATCAAAATGTCAAAGCATTTTGTTATTTATTTATTTTTTACGTTATCCTAGAACCAGTGAGTTAAAAACCTAAAAATTCACTTGGTAAAATGTACAACATTGACTTTGGGTAACTTAATCAATTAATATTTTTAAATAGCTTAAAATAATTTTACTAAAATAATTTTACTTATAAAATTGTATTAATATTGACTTATATTATAAAGGATTAATAAAAGGTATAGTATTTAAAGTGTTTTGTGCGATTTTATCGATTCTATTAATATATATATATATACTGCTTAGTAAATGTAAGTAAAATTTATTACAATAACTTCAAGTAATTTTAAATTAAAAAATTGGATACAATTAATGTTTGTTATAGTTTTTATTGTAAAATTTTTTTTTTTTTTAATGTTTAATTGCTGACAAAGATAAAATGTCGTTTTTTATTGGCGTTTCGCATTTATTGTAATAGAAAATAATATAATGATAAAAAAGATACTTCCCCACTAGTTGCTTGATAAAGTGTAGATATTTTGTATCGACATAAATTAAAATTTATTATATTGATATTTTTGTGATAAACATTTCATTAAAAACTTTGTTAAACACAATCTCGAAGTTTCGGAAAGATAAAGAAACCACTATGGACTGTATTATTTTAAAGTCTAAACGTTTCATAATTTATTAATAAGTAATCGGAAAAAAAATGTTAAGTTTCTACTTAAGTTGTAATTATGAACTAGATTATTAGTTAGAACTTAGCAGATAATGAAGTAAAATAATAAATATTTTTAACTATATTTTGAAATATAGTATGTTGCTTGCATAAAATTGTTCCTTGTCGGTGATCCTTTATATAATACAAACCAAACATGAATAGTTATAACCGAAGTTAAAATATACTGACATTTTATAATAATTATACAATTATTAACTATTAATAAGATACGTTCGTTGTTTAGTGTAGAACTTTATTTTAATCATGTATACATTATTATTATGGAACGAATTTATATGAAATTAAAATACAAATATACATACAAACTATTTACTGATATACTCAACTGATTTAATTGGTTCATAGTAAGTTAAAGCGAGTGACATTGAAGAATATAATTCTAAAATCTGAAAAACTATTAAGCCAGGATTTTTATCAATAACAGTATGCATTTTTTAATTTCTATATTTTTTTCTCAAGTTGTAATTTTATTCGTTATATAATTATAATACTCTGTTATAAAATTTAATTTTGTATAATATTTTGAGCTTTTCCAATCGTTGTAAAAGTTTCTTATCATTATATATTTTAAAATAATTTCTTGTATTTTTGTTAAGTGCTCACAATAATATTTCAATAACATACGTATAAATACAATTAAATTCAGAAAAAATGTTTCAAAAATTAGTGAAATATGTAAAATAAAATGGATAAAATAATTCAAATTTTAAATATTTATTAGCATACTTTAAATATCATATTATAATAAAAATATGCATTTACATAATATAATTCCGTCCCCTAGGATTAATATTTGGGAGCCGATAAAATATATTTATATATATGGACGTTGTGGACAGTGGAAGAGTATAAAATACTTTATAATATATAATAATAGCTGGTAGCTTATAGCAGCAATCAGACACGCAACGTGACTAATAGTAAGTAACGTCACTATAGTTCCCAGATGAGTGACCACTCGGGTTCGTAATAGCAAAAACCTTGCTACAAATGCACATGTTGCTTGCCTACCGTTTCAACCGTAACAACCTTAACGTACCATAATCCTAACAATATCTAATGCCATTGTAACTGGGCTCGAGTTCAATAATAAAAAAAAAATAATAAATAAAGGCATAAATTTAAGACATCATATCTTTGAATTCCGGAAGTTTCAGCTATAAAATATATCAAAATATCAAACAAATCTACTAAAATGATAGTACAACATTAAGAGTAATCATTATTATTCCATGTCCGCAATGACTCATATTAAAATTATATTTTCATAATGTTAGTTTATCAACAGTTTTTAAATTTTTCATATACAATTTAAAATAATTTTCAGTAGTTAGGTAGGTACCTACTCACTTTTACAATAATTATTACTAATTATTGAAAATAAAGTGTTGGTTGTTATTGTTTAAACTTTAAAGTCAATACTATAGTATAATAATTGTACACTGTTAGCTTAAAAAAAATGACTTAACAAAAATCAACTGTAAATGCGAAATATAAAAATAAACAAGGATAAAATAATGTTTTTTGCTGTTTACTGTGATAAAATCAAATTAGTTATCAACTTTATTCTATAAAATTAAACGGTGTAATATTATAGTATAAAAGCAATGAATAAATTTAAATTTTCTATCCTACAGTTTCAGAATAATATAAGTTTTAACACACTTACTAAAACATTTTGCATTTTACTAATAAAAAAAAATATGTGTGTTTTTTTAAATGGGCTTAATAAATTATAGTAGATTATAAGGTTGTAAACAATACTGGTAATTCATCGCTAAGTAAGTAGGTACTTAATTATTATTTTTGACAATATTAATGTATCACGTCATATGAACCATCTTTGGACACATTTTTGTGTTCAATGATTTAATGATTTCTAATAGGGTTGTGAAAAATGTACCTACGTAACATAATATATAGATTTGTATTAATTTATTTTTATGAATCAGCGAAGGGTAATAAATGTCAAGTATAATACTGTCTCGATTTCTGCCTATGTGCATTATAATTATATGAATATAATTTGCATACAACGGGTCTATTAGTATACATTCCTTATTATCAATAAATTGAAGTGTACCGTTCTACGTCAAATGTGTTGGTTAGGTATTTATTTTGTGTGCAATATGGAATGACAACACAATTTATTGTAATAAGCTAATAAATACGATGTATCAGTTCTATATTAATTTATGTATCTAATGCTAATGTCACATTTCAAAAAGGTTAATTATCCGCATAACAAGTCACAATACACTTAACAGTCCGTTTAACCCGAATTCCACGTGATTGGTTGATTAAATTTAAATCAACTTAAAACTTTCAGACTTTTATATAAAAATATAAAATCTTACATTTAAAACAAATACATTTTAAGGGGGGTAGAGCGTAGCATGTTTTAAGGAGTAATATTTAGGAAATTTATATGACATTTACATTTGGATTGTGTCAATGTCGTAAGTAGTAATTTAACATTCGTTATCACATAAATCTCGCACACGCACTCACATGTTATTTATACTAAATCTATGTTAATTGTTTGCACAACTATAAAAACTACTAAAAGCGGTAGTCAGTGGCGTACGCAGGATTTTTCAATGGGGGGGGGGGGCTTGAAAATTAGTTACAATTTTATTTTTATTTCGTCCAGTCTAATAATTTCAGACGTTTATTTGAGGTATTTTAAAATGTTTGTAACTTTTTAACTTTTCTGGTAGAAAAAGATGCTCTGACCATAAGCTCCGATGCCCGATGTATGTTTTTGGAAGCAAATTGGATCTAGTTGTTGGTACTTTTAGGAGGTCGAATTTGAAGATGCTCAGTGCTTTTTAAAATAATTGGAGAAAAAAAATGAAAATGTATTAAAATAGTTTAGTAACCAACTTGGTTATACCGTCCTCTCTATTGGATTGTATTTGATTAATTAAAATTTTTTTTCTATAAATGTCAATAAAAAATAATTTATCCCGTCAAAAAGTTTAAAAATGTAATACGTAAGTTTTTATTATAGCTAAAATATTAAAATTGATGTCTTGCTTACTATAGTTGACAGTTGAAACTTCATAAATATATATTTTTTAAAGTAATAATAATACGGGAAACGGGGGGGGGGGCTTCAGCCCGTTAGCCCCCCCCCCCCGTGTGGACACCACTGGCGGTAGTAATTAAACATACATTCTGAAGTTCGATTGTAATTTCGAAAAAATGGTTGAATTAATAAGTTTCTATACTAGGCTACTTATTTAGGAATCATTTTTTCTATTTCAAATCTGACGTGCTCAAAATAATACAAATGAAATTCAATTATTTCACGGAATTTTAAAAATAATATCTGATATTTAAGGTTTGTTTTAAAATGAAAATCGAATCCCTAAATAGCTTAAATATTTTGTTAAAGAATTCATACATACATTAAAAATCAAAATAAAATTTTGTTTTATTTACAACCGCTCATTGTTCCAAAACGTATGAAAAATACGTGTGCTGAGATCCCCTTAATATAATATTAGAAGAAAACCAAAAAAAATTATAAATTATCCCTGAGACAAGTGTTATTTTAATTTTATTATTTTTACAATGTAAATTTTTGTTTTTCTTTACATACTTACTAATATTTTATTATGTTTTGTTTATGTGTTCCACTGCTTAGTTTCGGAAAAAGAAATCAGACAATGGTAAGTACATTTTTTATTATTCATTTTAATTTTAATTTTTTTTTTTATTACCATATCAGCTGAATAAATAAACCTTTATTTTTATAATTGAAAATAAATGCAGTTAAGCCATAAATTTAATACTTAAAGGAAAGCAATATGTATATACAATATATTTAAATTATAACATAAGTTAAATTTGAAATTAATTTCGCTCAAAATGTTATATGGTGTAGGCTTTTATATGCCAAATATGCAGTCATTATAATTATCATTTATAATAATGATCAGAATTGATTAACTACACTTACACTTTTAAACATGTCAACAATTAATGCTCAATTTGATTATTAAAATCAATCGTGGTCAGGACGCTATCTACTGTTTTTTTGTATCTCCGCTTAATATACCATTGATAATAAACATAGTTAATTAAATATCAATGACTTGAACCCAAAAAATTAAAAAATACACTCATCATTATCAATAATATCATAATATCATAATAAAATAGTTATCATGTGTTGTATTATTGCTTTGCGTGAGAAGTGGGCGTTCTAGTAACACAATTTTAAATAATTTATCTAACCATGTCACATCGCCACGCTTATTTAAATGTTGATAATAGATGAATTAGTTCTGCTACTAAACTTAGCAACATAGCCTATGTTACATAGGGATAACATAAATTTGGTATATTATGCCTGTGCGTAAGTCGGAGAGAAAAACAAATAGTGCGCTGATCTTCTCTAAATTAAAAAAAATTTCGTTCATAGGTGTATATTATTATAAGTACCTACTAGATATTTTTCCTCTGCAAAGAAAATTGAGGAATTATAGATGTGTTTGGGTATAGTATAGTTGTAAAATATCTAGCAATAATATGTCACATTTTGCTAAGAATTTAATTAATTTTAATTTTGTTCTTATTGTTGATTGGTGTTTCTATGGCAATCAACATACGAAAATCGGCCTCGCAAAAGTCGGGTAGAAAAAAAAATTAAACCCAGCCCAAAAACATCTCTATTTTAATATAACATAATCTAGTAGTACAAAATATTATTTTTGATGAATTGAATCTACACTGTCACAATTAGTCGCTGTTCAACCAATACAACCGTAAATTTTAAGGCAATAATAATTATTATGTATATGTTCAAAGTGTAACCCTATAATTATAATATTAGTAGGTACTGCATAGTCAGAACGCCAGGTCACCTGCAGAACCTTTTGAAGTCGATATTATAAGCTGTAATAAGTTAACTTTTATCTAAAACGTTTGTCAATAAATTGTATTTTAGTGGTTTCCAAGCTATTTTATTTTGCGGTAAGCTACCTAAACCTCTTCTTATAATCTTGTATCGCATTGAAAAATCATTGTTATTTATTTTATAATAATTATACAATTCTTTCGTAGAGTATATCTACAGTATGTAAATAGGTTAGGATTTCATTTTTTAATAATATAATTTTTGTTCACATGATTTTACATATTTTAGTGTATTTATATAATTTTAATATTTTGTTGACTCAATAAAACTCACACGAAATCAATAATTTGTGATAATAATAATAACAGTTGTGTGATAATAAATAATAATATAATAGTTTAGGAGAACAAATTAACTTTATATATTGATAAGGTTATGAAAAAAAAAAAACACATGCAAATAATGTACTTACGTTTGTGTCATTTCTAATTTTACGTAATACGATACTAATTTTTTTTTGTGTTAAAGTATAATGTAATTAATCTCTACAAAAGTTTTTTAAAAAACGTGTTTGGAATAGTGTGTAGTACAAAACTCCAAAACCCGTAGAATGGTGCGTTTCCGGAATCACGATTAAGTGGATATTACCAATACAGAGTTTCTGAGATTTTCCTGGATCACTTGGGAATTGGGAGTACCTACATTGGCTAATTTTGTTAATTTAATATTTCGAGGTTAACTACCTACTTACTAACTTCTTAATCTTACTACATTATTGATAAACTTGTTTAATATTTTATATTTAGCTCATCATTCATAAACTTAATAATGTTTTGTTTTAGATTTTGGAAAATACTGCAAAACTTTCTTGTACACACTTGCAAAACTCAAGTTATCTTGTTTGTGTGGTGTACCTACAAATCAGTTTGTTCAATAATTATAATTTTTAATAAATACACAGAACAAAAATGATCTATCTAATATTACTAATTACTATAATAGTAGCTTACCTCAGAGAATAATTTATTATTGTTTTGAATAAAAATAAAAACTAAAAACTATTCGTCATTAATTAATTTAATGGTATATCCGTGAAGTAGTTATTTGTTATTCATGATTCAAATTTGTTATAATGATAGGAGCTTTATAGGAGTTATAGGAGTTATTCGTGATTCAATTTTTAATTAAAATAGTATAATTCTTCAATCTTCATACCTGGTTTAATTTTTACTCATTATTAAATGTATTTATTATATTTTAGTTGCTTTTTTATAAAATTAATTTTTAATAAATAAAATTGATTTTCTATGCAAATGAAAATATTTAGGTACATTATGAAATTGTAAATTTGCTATGTAGTTTTGTTTTTATGTTTTCAAAATTTGATAAAACACAATTCACGTCATCATAAAGTTATAAAAACGTAGTTTAATCGATTAATTGACATGGTCTTGGATAGGAGTTCTCAATATCTTTTTCTACAGGTTTTTATTTTAGATTTGTGAATATCTCACATAATGTTTAAAAAAGGAATATATTAATATTCTTTTTTTTTTTTTAATCAAAATATTGATTTTTGTTAAATGTAATCATTCATTAAAAATGAAATGTGACTTTTAATTAAAATTATTCATTATTTTTGAGTAAAATATTATTCATAGTTAAATAAAATTTTTACTTAAGAATGAAATTATTCATGAATTTAAAAACCATATTTTTAAACATGAATAATTTAAACTAAAAATTCCAAATTCCGGTAATACTTGTGATAGGTACATAGTTAATAGTTGTTAGTTGTTACCTATGTCATTTCCAATTCAAAGCTTGACTGGTCATCTGTTACTTGTATAATTGTATTTAGCTTATAATACACTCAGGGAATATAAACATTACTGGTAACACAATATTTGAATATAGTAAACAATGTAAACACGTTAAACAATTATATTATTTTCTAAATTCAACTGTACCTTTATTTAATTCTAATAATATACTATATACCTATACTATAATATAGTATATACTGATTACAAATAATACATTGATCAAACACGTTACTTCAAAATTGTAATGTACAATATACATGACCCAGGGACTCTTTTAGATTAAACATACCTACATAATTGTTAAACCTTTCTATGGGTTATTAGACTATTAATTAGCTCTTTACTTCTGGTAAGCTATTTTAAGTATATATATTTTAATACAATACAAAATAATTTAGTTCATTATTGTGTATTTAATAAATACCTATATGTACCTACTATGTTTCAAAACTTGAAAGGTATAACAACTAACAGTATGAACCAAATGAGATTGTATTTTATAAAAGTAGATAATATGTTATTTTGATAAGGTTAGTTAAATTTACTATGATAATAAGATATCTACGGCTTATTCACATATTTAATCGGAACCTTTCAGCTGCAGATTATTTAGACTTTAGAGATACTAGGTCCGTGAATCGAAAAACTGCAAAGTGCGTCATAAAATGACCTTTATTGAATGTTCAGAGGACAAAGTATCTAATAAAGTATTAAGGCTTACCTAAAAGCTATAGGTATATCCCAATTCCCAAGTTAAAAAGAGTTTTTTACTTATAGATAGACCGAATTATATATCACACTAAATATTTAATTGTTTATTGTGATTTTACGTAAGTACCTACAGGACAGTTCATATTTTAAAATGATTTATTCGTATAATATTTTTATTATACTAAACTGAAGTAACAAGTATTCATTTTATATGACATAAAATTGTCATTAACTGTATTCAAACAACTGCAGTTAATTTTTAAAAATGAGAATATAAACAAAGTAGTGCTTATCAATATATATTTTGTAATACTCTGAAATAGCACAATATTTGGTTAGTTAAATTTAAATTATTTAACTTAAAATATGAGGTAAAAAAAAAATTTAATAGTATGATATTATATTGAGTAGGTAGGTACATATGATGAAAAACGTACGTTAAAAATATTACAGTATTATAATATTGTAGGTACCTAAGTATGTAATAATTTGGAAGGCGCGATACACCATTATGAACACTTGGCGTGGATATGTGTTGCATGCATTTTATTTAAGTAAATTAATTAAATAATTAAATAAATTATTTAAGTATTATAGCTTGCGAATTGTATTGTATACCATTTCGTTACAAATAACAAAATAAATATTGATACACATCTTAATTAAAAATCTAATAGTTACAGCTTCCAAGAATAATCTGCACAATACAAATATTTTTAATTTATGTATATTTATTTATTTTAATTTTAATTTAGGTAATGAACATTTATCAAGTGGTATTTTTATATTATGTTTACAATATACAATATTTTAGGTAATAATTCAAATGTAAATTTATATTTTGAAATCAGTGTTGTAAGGGTACAAACATGTACTAGCGTTACGCAAAATAATTGCTATGAAAGCAAAATAATACAACAATAAAAATAATACACTATGATGTAATAAAAGTCTATTTTAAAATGTCTAACACTAATCATGAAAATGTTATCTTCATCTTACATTTCTCGTGAGCTCATTTTATAACGAATATTGGTAGCAGGGACTTATACCTTTAGGTTTTTCTAAACAAAAGTAGGTAATAATAGTTTATCAAAGCATTTAGCATTTCTTATAGTCAATAAATTGAGGACTGACGAAGGATGTAAACACAAGATAATCAAATCATTGGAAAACCAAAGATTATATAAAACCAGATGGTGTACTTCCTATTCAAGCCATATTATTCTCAAAAATGTAAATAAATCAAAACCTACCTACTCCAAATCAGTATCACCACTAATAGAGAAAAACAGTTTTCTATGAGAAATTATTGATTATTAACTATCATGCAGCAATGATATTTAGCACTCTCTCCAAATTCCTAACCACGATTAAAGATATATTATCTTTAATAGTGTTCCTAACCATTGTCATATTATTTGATACAGCAATTATAGTAAAGGTGTTGAGGTGTTGTACAATAATTTATTTCTCATATGTGATCCAGGATCCTACTGCATTGAGGTAGGTTTTAGTTGTCAGTAAAATACAGAAGTGCACCATCTGGTCTAATATAATCTGTGGTAAAACTAGATTTTTGCTAATTTTAAAATATTGGTTCCAGTTTAAATTCCCAATATTTTAATGGGTTTCAGATCCAGTTCTTTTCGATTCGGTTTCAGTCCCTGATTAGTAATAAAGTAGTATGTAAACATTGTAAAGCAATAGGTACCTAGTCGATTTTCGACCTCGCTGCATGTGGTAGGTATACGTTTCAAGTTAGCATAATGGTTGATTGTGATAATATTATAAATTACTGTGGATAATCTTTGGGAGTTATATTATAATTCATTATATGATTCACTGTTGATTTACATACAAATCTTTTTGGTTAAACAAAAAAAAAAAAATGAAATAATAATAAGCAGCTATAACCAATTTTCAAAGTCACAGATTAATATACAACAATATGAACCATTTATAACTTCCTTCCCAATCATTAATTAAACAATTTGCGAAATTGTATAAGTAAATAAATATAGATAGGTATTACATTAAAATAGTAATTTTATATAACATGTAAATTATTAAGTTCATAATATTTACACAACTTATTTGTTTGATATGTTAATAGGCACAAAGGTTTTCTAAAGGATTGCCCAAACGGATTACTGACGGAACAAGTAAGTTATTCATTATAATATTGATATTCATGTCAAAAAATAATTCTTATCGTGTTTTTTTCTTTTTATTGGAATTGGGTATTCCCCTTTAGCTATACTGAACATCAAAAAGTCATTCTTATAATCACAGTTAAATCTTAAGTACCTATAGTATAATTGAATATAAAATATACTAGTATTTATAATCAATATGGTAGGACCTACCCAGAATTTTTTTTTTTTTTTTTTGGGGGCACTAAATTTTTTCCCTAGCCTTTGAAATGCTAGAATTTCTAATTATGACCCCTTTGTTCATAAAGTATATCTATTCTTTTTATGACTATACATTTATGCTAACAACTATGGTACCTACATTTAACATAACAATGTATTAATATTATTGTAAACCATAGGTTAATGTATTCATTAATATAAGCATATTAATATATAATCATTATATAAAAATGTGTTGTAAACAAAACATTCCATTTTTTGTTGGAATATTATTAAAATGTACTAACAAAAATACAAAGACTATATTATTAGGGCTGTTGTAAGCTGGTCGTTTTTTGTGCATTTAAATTTTAAACCAATAAGCGGAAAAAAATATACTTCCAGAAGTCCAATTTTAATTTCGAAAAAATATAAGAATTTCTCTTCTTTTTGTCTGTGTTTTGTAGGGAGTGAATTTTTTTTTTCGCAGGTAATATTAAAGTAAAAGTGAATTTTGAAAAAAATAGAAAACTTATTTGGTAGTATACTATTTAAACAATACTACAAATCAAAAATCCATTTCCTACATAACCTAGAGCGAAGAGATTAAGAAATTTAAATATGTTTTCAAAATTAAAATAGGGCTTTTGGTACTTTCTTTTAATTTTTCTTCCGCTTTTGGGAGTTTTGTGGCACATGATGGTAGTTGAACATTTTTTTATCACAAAATATAGTATCGTGACTGCGCGTATGTATGTTACTAAGGTCCAAGAATCTTAGCCTGTATCTTCCATTACATAAAGCGTTCGGGGAACTCACATACACTAATGATCAGTCACCACACACACAGTCACACAGCACTAACGATGGATGTACAATATTTCCTAAATCTGACCCCTTCAAAATGGTTAGCACTTTGCTTTCGACAGCCCTAACTATTCATTTTTATCAAACATATAATATAATTTAAAACAAGCAAAAAAAAAACGGCACTGGACCTACCTATGTAGTATGTTCATAGTTAAATAATAGACACAGCCATGAAATGATGTAATTGCATCTTCATAAAATTAATTAAATTCAGAATAATAATAAAAAAAAAAATGCTCATTGTTTTTCGTGCTTATATTGTATATAATTTATTTGAAATATTCACTTTCTTTAATAAAAAATTCAATTGATTTCAACTATTAAAACGAGTTAACTTAAGTATATAGGGCTAAAAATGATGTACACATAATTGGGTAGGCCTTCGAATTAAACAATGTGTTAAAAAGCCATACCTCTGCGCAGCATTAAAGTAGTGTTGTGCGCATGCGTATAAAGGTAAAATCGCAAACTTTGGCTGGATATAACTTCCAAAATAATGGTTTAAGCAAAAAAAATCAAACAGTTTCGAAATCAGCGTTGAAAAACACGTCTTAAAAAAAAATTCATGGAGGCGTGGTAAAGTGCATTTTAGCCAAAAAAAAAATCATATTATCGATACAAATAAATACAATTTAAGGGTCTATCTATGTATCTGGGCTAACCATGAAAATGGCTGAAACCTTTCTTAATGGAATTTTCATAGGTAGATAGGAATTTGAAAGTAGGGATTAGGTACTACTTTTTAACCCAGAATTCAACCCCTTTATTTTCAGTGTAGCATACACGTCCATTTTGTCTTTAAAATACAATATCTAAAAATATATATTTATATTATATATAAATTAATTTGGTTTTATAGGTATACAACTGATTTTTTTTAATGTATCACATTAAAAATTTTCTCAAATTTGACTTTCACAAAAATATTATTGATTTTCAGGGTTTTATAAAAATATACAGACAATTTTTCCCGCAAGGTGATCCAACAAAATTCGCATCACTTGTGTTCAGAGTGTTTGACGAAAATAAGGTAAGTTTATTTCGAAACATAATATAGTATTTTTTTTACATTGGAGTATTTTAATACATTTTTAAAATATGCATTTTACAGATTTCATAGAAGGTACCTTTGATTTTCTTTGTTATTTTGATATGTACATATATTATAAAATAGACAATAGTATAATATAATGATTATTTATAGATTCCATTTAAAGTACTTAGGTATAGTTAAATTATTTTAAGTAGTTATGACATCGTTGTTTTAGGTATTAAGGCCCTGTATAGTAGAATTAGTAATTTATCTATTATTATATAATTGTGCACGAATTGAATTAGATTTTTAATCGAGTGCAAATGACAGACTATTGAGTCAATTATCGGGCTTACAATGTTGTGGTTTATTTTATATATTATTTTTCATATATAATTATATAAATTATTATTTATTTATTTTAAGATAACATTTTGGAAACATTCGATTTCTATATACTTTTTAGGTTACTCGAATGTTAACTTTGCACTTAGACATTAAATATGTAATGTAAAACTTCATTATTCAATTCAGATCACATTTTTAATTTAAAGAAATTGAATTCATTTAGATTTGAGAGACATTTTTGTACTTGGTTTCAGTGGCGTATACATAACTTGTATATGGGAAGGGGTGGAGACGATAACTTCAAAGGGGCTTTTTTATATAATTATACATATAGGTAAACAAGTTTATCAAATAACCTATTGGTATTATTGGCAAATATCAAAAACCATAAATTTAATTAAATTATTATTTGGCCGTATAAATACGATTAAGGAGGTATACCAGGTTGCCATCGCCGCTTGTAATGGTGGCTGCGTCGTCCAAGGTCAGACTTTTTGTTCATTATCTTCTCCATAACGAGTGCCGCAAAAGTGATTGTTCATTTTTTGACTTCACTGGTAATCTATATGACTGGCAAGTCAAATAGTCGAAAGTCTAAACAAGCAATTGGCTGCGTTTACCAAATAACAATACATCGCTGACTACTTTAATTAATATACCTATATTGAAATCTATAGTACTTTTAATCAATTGTACAACTATCTTAAACATTTTAGTTTTACAATATATCAAGATTATGTTATGCAAATATTAAACATTACAGGCATAAAAAAAACATCCTCCTATACATAAAATATAAAAGGATGCCCTCAAACAATGCTTGCAAAAAAACTATTCTCATTAAAACATCTTAATATTGATCAATGGTCAGAAATAAATCATCTATCTTCAAACACTGAACTAACTTCGCAAAATTATAATATTATTGATATGCATTTTTTTTTTCAACTCTCAATCAAACTAACTCCCCTATAGGCTCTTTCATTCACTAAATCTATATTTGTCAAATTATAGTCCAAAAACAAATCCAAATGATTGTCTCAAACTTACCTAGCAAACTTACTAACTTAAATGGATAACCTTACCAACCTAAATAGATTTCATATCAATCCACGTAGCGTCTGAACTTAATAGTTATTAATTAATTAGATTTATTATGTAAGCTAATACAAAATGAAAATGAACATTGAAATTTGAAAGACAATTTTTACTGAAAATCACATATTATATTATATTATAATCTGAAAAAGCTGAAATCGACTGACTCATTAATATAAATTTTTCCCTTTGCTATTTTTATTCATAACTGAACTATCAAAGGTTGAGTTTTTCTAATTGAAATGACGTATTCAAACAGAAACATTTAAAGAAATACATGATTTGTAATTCATTTTTTATTTTGTTAGACATTGAATGGTAGTAAATTGAAGTTGAATGAATGTGTACATAATCACCATAATCTGAAAATAGTATCTTGTAATAATGTTATATTTCAAAATAAAGTTTAAATAAAAAATTATATTATGTTAATATTGTTTTGTTGATATTGAAATAAATTAAATAAACTATTTATAGGTCTTATTTATTTATGAATGGGCTTGTAGCCCAATTGTACAATACAATTAATAGTAATAAATACATTTGAATAATATAACCTAATCATTAAAGTAAACAAACAATAGAATGGATCAAAATTAACAAATGGCAATTATAAAAAAAAAAATTTAAGTAAAAAATAGTAATAAACAGATTGCAGTACTATTATTGATAAAAACATTTTAAGAGAAACTTAGGTGCTAGTTACCAATGCGCATCATACTGTGAATGGAATTATTTCTATCATAGTTTGTGTTGTGGAATGGAATAATAAAGGAAGAATTAGACTTAGTTGAGTGAGAAGGAACTTTAAAATTAGGGAAAGAATAGAGGGAGCATAGAGGAGCACCAAATTAGCTTCAACTCTTAAATCTGCTAGAGCCTAGAGACAAGAGTTCGAGTTTATTCATCACTCGCCTATAATCATGCGATGGATGGGAATTTGTAAAATTAATGACGCCGAAGAACAATAGCGCCGCTGGATCCGCTCAATGTGAGAAGATTCAGCTGTCGTAAAAGGGTCCCGAAGAATAGAAGAATAGAAGAATATTTCAAAAGAGGCAGTACGAGAGAGTAATATAAAGCTTTGAGAGAACAAGAGAGCTTAAATTCTGTTGACGTGCGTATGACAAAGCCAACCATCTTAAACGCACTACAGCAATATGGTAATGAAATTCAAGATTTAGACAAAAAAGAATACCCAAGTCTTTCTTCCTAGCAACAATATTAATGCTTGAACCAATTATCAAGTATGTGTAGTTAACGATATTTCTATTTCCAGCAAAAACATGGATTGGCATTTTTCTACACTAAAGCTTAGTCCCATATAATTAAACCACTAGACAAGAACAGCAAGCTCTTTCTGGAGGATAACAAAATCAGCGACTGACTCAATTATCCTGAAGATTTTCAAATCGTCATCAAACATAAGGAACTTAGAATCTGGGATAACCAGTTTAAGACCATTAACCAAATCTACCAAATCTACCAATAAAGAAAACAATAACGGGGATAAGTGTCCCCCCTTGAGGAACACCTGTTGATCACGGACTGCTTCAGATTTACATCCTAAGACTTTAACACATTGGATCCAACTACATAAATAAGATTTGAAACAATATAGAATGGGCTCCTCAAATCCAGCTTTATGTTACCGGTATACATTTGAGCTTCGAAAATTAAATTTAGCCGTCTTATGACTATGGATATGCATTAATTTACCTAATAGCTAATCGTTATTAACACACTTAACTGGGGACGGTCAACTTACGTTAATAAAATATATAATGACCGGAATGATTTTTATAATACTAAATCTGGTTGCCTTATAAATAGAGAAAATATAATAATTGGATAGTATAGCATCTCTCCCAATAAGGCGAATAATGTCCACCAATTTAGAAAGGCAATCAGATAAATTACTCGAGTTAGCTGTACATGGACAGAGAGCTACAAAAACGACCAAATAAAATCAAGGAAGTTTTTCCTCGAAGTATCTATAGCCTAAATGAACTACTCCGAAATTACTCTATGTAGAACAAAAATATGTAGAGAAAAAACAGCGAAAATTAGAGGTTGCATAGAACTAGAAAAACAATAGTATTATACCTTCAATGCTCGAGTTACAATTGCAGACATAGAAAACACTGAATAAACTGAGAGTGGGAGTCAGTTGGTATAATGAGAGTAATATGATAAAATGGGGGATATCACAATGACAGAATATATAATATTGTTTCGGCAAAACAGAGCAAACGATGACACGTAATATATTGGTATGTCCAATTGGACAAGGAACTTGTAACGCAAAGAAATCCGGTGCTGGAAAACCAGAAAGACGTAGTCAGTGACTACTATAGTCACTGTCTAATTTTGGACAAAGGATAATATTTAGTTGAACTTCATTGACAACTAATATATTTTATTTTGTGTCTGTATACGCGATATAATATAGTAGAAAAAATACTTCTATCTTCACGGGTGGTTTCAGATTGAAAATCGGATCTATAGTTGCTACTTTTAACAGGGTTAAATGAAAACGGAAAAACCTGTTTTCGACAAAATTGATTTTTTTTGTTTGGGGTAACTCATAAAGGAATAACCGTAAATATTTGTAATTTTTACCAAATATTTATATTGGCATTTTATAAACATGATAATATTTTTAAAATATCTTGCTGCCTTTTGGGTTTTGGTCTAAAAATAAATATTGAATATTTTCGATTTTTTTAGTTTGAATTCTATAAATGTCAACAAAAAAATATTTGATTTGTCAAAAACCATATCACTCACGTATCCCCTACACAACCAGAAACTGAAATCTATACTACGGTCCTTACAAAACATTAACTTTTGGTTACATCTTATATTCATATTATATTCTAAATGAGTGACGCTTAAAATAAATAATACCAAATCGTTTCTTTCATAAAATGTTATTGTATTCATGTAAACATGAATTATAGTCTAGTTGTTGCATAGATCTCTGCATCAAAGGCTTAGCCAGAAGTGTTGTTCAGCATATGCAGAATGTAAATCGGCCCACCACAACTATTGGAGTGGACTGAGGAGGGGGGGGGGTAATCCATAAAATCGCTAAAATGTTTTCAATAGTCACTTTATACTTAATAATAATTAAGATTGAAGTATGTAAATATATAACTACATTACTTATGTCCTTACTAATAAAAAAAAAATTAAAAATATATATCTATTGATAATATTAACGTAAATAAACGTTACTCAAAAATATTATAATGACATTCGTTTCTTAAAATCTACTACTATTTTAAAATCGTCTATAACATCAGCATCAACATTGACTGCCATTTCTTGTTCTACTGTGAATACCATCAAAGCATTCAATCTTTCTTGCTTCATGGTAGATCTTAATTTGGATTTGACTAGAGTCAATTTAGAGAAAGACCTCTCACAAGTACAACTTGATACTGGGATCACTACAAACTTTTGAATTACATTAAAAAATTGGTTAAAGTATTTATAATTATCATTAGACTTCAGTCAAATTAACCATTTGTGGATTTTACTTTTCTTACTGAAACTGTCTTTATTAGGAATCGTAAAATTATTTTTTAATAGCATTACTTCTATTTCAATTTTTTCACTGTCACATTGAAACGTTTTTGATAGACAAGATAGGTTCATTTTCGATATATCCATATTTAGTAAGCTATCAACTGCATTTATAGCTTGTATAGTGTCCTGGCTAAATCATTCATCAATACTATGAACCATCACGTCTATGGTCTATCATTGGTTAAAAGGCTGATATTCTAAGTTCCGATTCTTTAGTTCTTGAACAAATTGTGTTTTGTTACTGTCTATGTGAGAAGAGATTTTTCTTTTATTGATTAAAGGAATTGGAACATCCAATATTTTTTTTAAATATTCATCTGTCCTCATATCTAATAATACTAAATGAAGAGCTTTTACATTTGCCATAGCTCACTGGTTCCCAAACTGGGGGGCGTGTACACATTGCTGTTGACGCGCAATCAGTTATTATGAAGTACAATTTTTATTGATTAAATTATTTGTATTTTAAAACTTAGAGAAAACAATATTTGACCTGAAATCTTTATCTGTTAATCGAGTATCAATAACGGATAACCGATAAAGACTATTAATGTTTGGCCGCAGCATGTAACTTAATCGTTTTATGTCACATTATCTGTAAATTAATCGGTACGATAAAAGGTATTAGACGAGTATAGACTATAGACTCGATTTAGTTTCGTTTTGCAGTTGCATAGTGCACGTAGTGTCGTAGTATGTAGTCGTCGCTAGTGTATGTACTTAAAAATAATGGCTCCACAGAAAATAAGATTGTACAACGACGATTATTTAAAGTTTGGTTTCACGTTCATTGAAAAGGATGGTATCCAAATCCCAAATGCCAC